GCCCCCTCCCTGCTGGAGGTCGGTGCCTCCTCCCGCGCCCGCTGCCGCGTCGCCGGCGCCTTCCCGGCCCAGGACACCCTCGTCACCATCACCCTGGGCCGGGAGAGGCTGAACTCCACCCTGGAGGTGTCCGGGGACACGGTGACGGCTGTCACCGAGCTGTCCCCAAGCTCACCGGGCAGTCGGGTCCTGTCCTGCACGGCCGCGGTGGCCACGGCGGCTCGGACGGTGCGGAGGCAGCTCCACGTTTACCGTAAGGATCCGGCACCGGGGGGGGGGGTCAGGGGGCCACCAAATCCACCCCAAATCCCCCCTGGATCCACCCACGGGCTCTTCTCGCAGGATTCCCGGCGCCCAGGCTGGAGCTGCTCCCAGTGCCCGCGGTGGAGGGCGAGGAGGTGATGGTGACGTGCCGGGATGGGGCCACTGAACCCCTCCCCGGGGCCACTGAACCCCCTCCCAGCACCACCAAACCCCCTCCTGGGGTCACTGAGCCCCCTGGGGCCACTGAACCCCCCTCCAGGGCCACCGAACATTCTGGGACCACCAAACCCCCTCTTGGGGCCACCGAACCCCCCCCCGGGGCTACCAAACCCCCCGGGCCGTGGCTGCAGCTCCTGGGTGGGGCTGACGGGGGGGTCCTGGCGGAGGGGCCCCGTTTGGAGCTGCGGGTGGTGGCCCGGAGGGAGGAGGACGGGCGGGAGCTGCAGTGTCGGGCCAGCCTGGACCTGGGGGGACACACGGTGACCAAGGAGGCGACGGCGCGGCTCGAGGTGCACTGTGAGTGATGGTCATAACCCCCAAAAGCCCCTCAGACCACCCCAAAACCTCCCAGCTGCATCCCAAAACCTCCCAGCTGCACCCCAGAACAACTTCATACCTCCCAAAACCCCCTCACACCACCCAAACCACCCTCACACCGCCCCAAAACACCCTCACATCACCCCAAAACCTCCCACCTGCACCTCAAAACACTCTCATACCCCCCCCAAACAGTCTCTAACCTCCCAAAAAACCCTCACCCCACCCCAGAAACCTCCCACCTGCACCCCAAAACACCCTCATACCCCTAAAACCCCCTCACACCCCCCAAACCACCCTCACACCACCCCGGAACATCCTCTAACCCCAAAACCCCCTCAGCCACCCCAAAACCTCCCACCTGCACCCCAGAACACCTTCGTACCCCCCAAAACCCCCTCACACCACCCCAAAAGACCCTCTAACCCCCAAAACCCCCCTTCCCACCCCATAACCTCCCACCCGCCCCCCAAAACCTCCCGGTTTCCCCGCAGACGGCCCCGCTCTCCCGGCCGGGGGCTGCCCCGGGAACCGCACGTGGGTTCGGGGTGCCCGGGCGGCCCTTTGGTGCCGCGGCACCGGGAACCCCCCGCCCACCGTGCGCTGTGCCCGCGGGGGGGTCCCGGTGGGCACCGCCCGCCCCGAGCCCGTCACCAGAGACCGGGCGGGGACCTACGAGTGCACGGCCACCAACGCCCTGGGCACCGCCCGCCAAAGCGTCACCGTCACCGTGGAGTGTGAGTGGCACTGGGGGCACTGGGGGGGCATTGGGGTGGCACTGGGGTGGTACTGGGGTGGCACTGGGGGGCACTGGGGGGGCACAAGGGGGGCACTGGGGTGGCACTGGGGATGGCACTGGGGTGGTACCAGGGGTGGTACTGGGGTGGCACTGGGATGGCACCAGGGATGGCACTGTGATAGCAATGGGGGTGGTATTGGGGTGGCACTGGGGGTGGCACTGTGGTGGCAGCGGGGGTAGCACTGGGATGGTACTGGGGTGGCACTGGGGTGGCACTGGGGTGGCACCAGGGGTGGTACTGGGGTGGCACCAGGGGTGGTACTGGGGTGGTACAGGGGGTGACACTGTGGTGGCACCTAAGGTGGGATCGGGGTGGCACAAGGGATGGCACTGTGGTGACACTGGGGATGGCACCAGGGGTGGCACTGGGATGGCACTGGGGATGGCACTGTGGTGGCACCTAAGGTGGGATCGGGGTGGCACTGGGATGGCACTATGGTAGCACTGGGGTGTCACTGTGGTGACACTGGGATGGCACTGGGGGTGGCACTGGGGCGTCATTGTGGTGACACTGTGGTGGCACCTAAGGTGGGATCAGGGTGGCACAAGGGATGGCAGCAGGGACACCACGGTGGTGGCACTGGGGGTGACACTGTGGTGGCACTGTGGTGGCACGGAGGATGGCACCGTGGTGGCACCAGGGACATCACGGTGGTGGCACCAGAGGTGGCACAGGGGGGCCGTGTCACCAACCAGGGTCCCCTCCGTGTGTCCCCCCTCCCCAGACGAGCCCACCCTGTCGGAGGGGGGGTGTCCTGCCCACCGGGTGTGGGTGGAGGGGCAGCGGCGGGACCCCAACTGGTGCCGCGCCGACGGGGACCCCCCGCCCAGCACCCGCTGCCACCGCGACCACGGGGCCACCAACCCCGGCCACGGGGCCACCAACGCCCGCCACGGGGCCACTGACCCCCGAGATGGCACCAGGGACACCCCCCGTGGGGGTGGCACCAGGGGGGGTCCCTCCCGTGCCCCCCGGGGCGGCCGCGTGGTGTCGAGGGCAGACGCCGGGCGTTACCTGTGCCGGGCCACCAACAGGCACGGGGTGGCCACCAGGAGTGTCCTTGTCACCGTGGAGTGTGAGCGGGGCAGGGGGGGGGCATGGGGAGGGGATTGGGGTGGGATTTGAGGGGACTGGGATTGGGGTGGGATGGCATGGAGTGGGATGGCATGGAGTGGGAGGGATCAGGGATGTTGGATGGGATCAGGAGGTGCCGGGTGGGATCAAGGGGCGCTGGATGGGATTAAGAGGTACTGGGTGGGATTGGGGGGTACTGGGAGGGATTGGGGGGTGCTGAGTGGGATCGGGGGGTGCCAGGAGGCATTGGGGGGTGCTGAGTGGGATCGGGGGGGTGCCAGGTGGGATCACAAGGTGCTGGGTGGGATCAAGAGGTGCCAGGAGGGATCAGGAGGTGCCAGGTGGGATCAGGGGGTGCCGGGTAGGATCGGGGGGTACTGGGAGGGATCAGGGGTGCCGGGTGCCCACCCATCCCCCAGTCCCCCCCCCTCACGTCCCTCCCGCTTCCAGACGAGCCGAGCATCCCCGAGCCGGGCTGTCCGGAGCGGCGCCTCTGGCTGGAGGGGACCCCGGCCCAGCTCGGCTGCGCCGCCACCGGGAACCCCCCGCCCCGGGTCACCTGTGCCAAGGTGGGGGGCACCCGGGACCACCCCCCCGTGACAACCGAGGGGGTGGGGGACACGTGGGACCCCCCCTTGGGGACACCCAACGTCACCCGGACTGAGCTGGGGGGCACCCGGGACCCCCCCTGGGTGCCCCCCAACGTCACCTGGACCAAACCGGGGCACAACCGGGACCCCCCAGTGCCCCCCAACGCCACCGGGACCGAGCAGGGGAACCCCCAGGACCCCTCCTGGGACCCCCCCCGGGTGCCCCCCGTGGTGACCCGCGCCCACGCCGGCACCTACCAGTGCCGGGCCACCAACGCCCACGGCTCGGCCACCAGGAACGTCACCGTGGCCGTTGAGTGTGAGTCCCTGGGGGGCCTTTTGGGGGCAAAAAAGGGGGAGTTTGTTCATTTAAATCCCTGGGGGGGGGGTGATTATAGCTGATTTTGGCTGATTGTGGCTGATTTTGGCTGATTTTCACTGATATTAGTTGATTTTAGCAGATTTTGGCTGATTTTGGCTGATTTTAGCCGATTTTGGCTGATTTTGGTGGATTTTAGCGGATTTCGCGGATTTCTGCGGATTTTCGCAGATTTGGCAGATTTCACGGATTTTGGCTGATTTTGGCGGATTTTGGCGGATTTTGGCGGATTTTCGCGGATTTGGCGGATATCGTGGATTTCGCGGATTTTGGCGGATTTCGCAGTTTTCGCGGATTTGGCGGATTTTCGCAGATTTCCGGTTTTTCGCAGATTTCGCGGATTTTCACGGATTTCGTGGATTTTCACGGATTTTGGCGGATATCGTGGATTTCGCGGATTTGGCGGTTTCTCGCGGATTTCGCGGTTTTGGCGGATTTCGGCAGATTTGGCGGATTTTCGCGGATTTTCACGGATTTGGCGGGTTTCGCGGATTTTCGCGGGTTTGGCGGATTTTCGCGGATTTGGCGGATTTTGCGGATTTGGTGGATTTTGGCCGATTTTAGCCAATTTTGGCTTATTTTAGCCGATTTTAGCCGATTTTAGCCAATTTTGGCTTATTTTAGCAGATTGTGGCTGAATGTGGCTGATTGTGGCTGATTTTGGCCGATTTTAGCCGATTGTGGCTGATTTTGGCTGATTTGAGCTGATTTTGGCTGATTTGAGCTGATTTTGGCTGATTGTGGCTGATTTTAGCCGATTGTGGCTGACTGTGTCCCCCCCCGGCACAGACGGTCCCGCCGCCGTCACCCTCCGGGCTCTGCCCTCTGCCAGCGTCTCCCGGGGCGGCTCCTTCAGCCTGGACTGCGGTGCCGAGGGGGTCCCGGCGCCCACCTTCACCTGGGCGCTGCCCCCCGCCCCCAACCTGCGCCTGGGCCCCGACAACCGCTCGGTGACCGTCACCGCGGCCACCGCGGCCAACCGCGGCCTCTACACCTGCACGGCCACCAACCCGCACGGCCGCCAAGCCGACAGCGTCGTGGTCAGCGTCGACGGTGAGGGGGGGACAAGGGGGTGGCACCGGGGGGGTGGCACCGTCCCCTCCAGCCCTGCGGGGAGCTGGTTGGTGGCACTGCTGGTGGCACTGGTCCTGCTGTGGTGGCACCATCCCCTCTGTCCCCACAGAGAGTTGGCTGGTGGCCCTGGTGGCCCTGGTGTCACTGATGTCCCTCCTGTCCCCCCAGAGAGCTGGCTGGTGGCCCTGGTGTCCCTGTCCTTGGTGTCCCTGGTGTCCCTGGTGACACTGATGTCCCTCTACCCCCACAGAGAGCTGGCTGGTGGCCCTGGTGTCCCTGTCGTCGCTGG